TGACTGTTTAGGTAAATTAGTGTTTTTAATAAATTAAAGAGGATAGTTAGAGATTAAAAATATACTTTGCTATATTCAGAAAACATAAATGTGTTTACCCTTTGTTACCTTTTGAAATGGTATAGATTTTATTAGAAAATAATTTGCATTCAATTCTTTTGACAGCTTTTTCTGGTAGCAGACCTTTTACAGGAACATTTTTTAGGGGAAACTGACACCTAGTGGTCTTTTTTATTAGTTTTTTTTCTTTTTTCTTACTTTTAATACCCTTTAATGGTGTACAACTTTTTTTTCTCTTGTGACTTTTAATAATTCAAAACTTTATTTTCTTTAATATCGAACATGTTCTCAGTAATGACATAATCCTAAATGATAAACTAGTTGTGTTTTGAATACGATTTATTGGGTGTTTCTTTCTGTCCACTCAGGAATGCTGATCATTTCCCTGATCATTTTACCCGTCACAAGTATTTCTGTCTAATGGATTCTTCCTTTTTCTCCCTTTCTTTCTTACTTCTTTCTGTCCCTGTGTTGGTTTTCTTTTTCCCCTCCCTTCTTTGCTATTTTCTCTGTTTTATTTTTTTGTTTGTTTGTTTGTTTTTTCCTGCTCTGCAGAAACTGAAACGGCTGATTCCTGATGAGGTAGGTGTATGTGTCACTGGTGTGCTTATCTCAATATGATCTTATAGCTTTTTAACAGAACCACGTCTTGTGTTAACCGTCATGTTGATGTCTGGATAACACATTAAACGTTGAGTGTCTATTGTTTGTCTTGTGCTGTTTTAAGTAGAATGTGCATGTTTTAAAGAACTGACAACATGGATGCTTTGTACATACATGAGTGACACCTTCAATTGCCAGCAACAGGAAAATTGCTGAAAACTCAATTATTGAGGATCACTAGATCTGTATGTACCAAAGTTATCTGTTTTCTCAAGTTACTGTTTTTCAGTGTTGTTGTTTTTTTTAACAATATAACTATTCAGTTCACAGATTCACAGTTAACACAAAGTTCACACTAAATAAATCAAAGTGAAGAAAATACAACTTGTGAACAACTTTGTGTGGCATTGTTTCATTTCAAAATGTCTCCTCTTGGAATCTTAGCCCCTTTTCAGATTGTGCAGTTAAATAAAGTTAAACGTTTGAAGCATCTCGACTTCCATGACCACTAATGTTTGTTTGTTCATTTCATATACAAGAACGCAAAGAAAATAATGAGGCTTCTGTTTTAAATTGACTTAGGATTTTTTCCCCCCAGTTTTGTTTTTTTTTAACAATTGCTGGCAGGAAAAAAACAAACAAAAAAACTTCAACCTTTTTTAGTTTATACCGGAAACCACAAAAACCTTGTTGAAGCAATTTGGTTCTGGTTTGATTAAGTGCTTTGTGCAAATGCATGCCTTTTTATTTTATTATTATTTATTAAAATAGTTGCCATAAATCATTTTTGAATTAATACCTATAAATACCTATGGTATTTTTTCAGCTGAAAACAGTAATTCAAATGGTCCTTCTTTAAGTCAGTAACAATTAATCAACAAACCTAAATATGATACTGACAAATCTAATGTTTAAAGATCTGCTTTGCTTTTCAGAGCAGATTTATTTTATTTTTATATTTTTTGGAATTAAGCTTTGTGATTTAGCCTCTAACAAAAGTTTTTATTACTGATTTAATATAGTCATGTCAAAAATGCCGTCCTATTTTCTGAACGTACATCTGAAAGGTGCTAATATATCCATGATCCGAGAGCATAATCTTGTGAGTGTGTAACAATACAGACAAGAAAAACAAAACAATGAGTTAAGGTGATCGCAAGCCTTATACTTTTACTGACAGTCCTTGTTCTTTGTATTTATCTACTTCATTTTTGTTCACTAATCTAGTTGGAACGCTTCACCAGCATGCGAATAAAAAAGGACAAAGAGAAACCGAACCAGTTTCCAAGCCAGCGACATTCTTCAGCTGCCAACTACGACATTGGCCCTCAAGGTGGCATGATGGAATATTCTGACGAATACATCCTGGACCTCTTTGAACAGATGCTGGTGAGAAAAACAGAAGAAATGTGTAAAAGACTCAGCATTTAGAGAGTTTTTTTAATATGGTGTCTTGCTTGTACATCTTAGGAGGCTTGTATTATTAACACCTACTGAATCACTCATTGAATAAAGACGCTTAGGACTGATTTACGTACATTCTTTCAACTTAATTTTTAACTGTTTTACTATACAGAGTTGTGAAAAGACTGTTTTTGGTTGGTCTTAATAGATAGATGTAAACGAATCAAAACAGTGCTGTGTTTGAGATCCGAAGTTAAAAGTGTGATTAAATGGTGAATTGTAAATGTAGGAACGTTGTTAATTAAGTTTATTTGCTTTACTTTTGGTGGCATTCATTTATGTAAATTCTTTGCAGGTAAAAATATGTAGTCGGTGCATTTTCTAATTGCTTGTTTGCATTTTCTCAAAATATTTAACAATTGTGTGCTCGCTGTTTTTGATTTTTTATTTCTTTTTTGTTCCCTTTTGTCTCCAGGTGGACATGAACCTGAACGAGGAAAAGCAGCAGCCTCTAAGAGAAAAAGACATTGGGATCAAACGAGAGATGGTCTCCCAGTATCTCCACACCTCTAAAGCTGTAAGTATTTTAAACTAATATAATTGCAAATGCTGCTAAAGTGAATTTAGACCCCATTTTTTTTAGGATGAGCAAGATTGTTTAAAAAAGACCATTGCAAATACAATGTCATGAAAAATAACAAGGAAAACTGTGCAATGTTCTATTTATTAGCTAAAAAAAAAAAATAATTTAATTCTTATCAGATATGAGAACTGGCTAGCATCAGCCTTTGGGTGAACAACAACAATATACAAATTCATGTATTCTACTTATTGGTTTTTCACATAATCCAAATCAAAATGCAGAAGCAGTGAATAAAAACTGAATACACCTTTATTCCTTCTGGTGGAATAAAGAGTGTAAGTAGCAGCTGGATGCTTCTAATCATATATATTTTAATAACTAATCAATATTGAGCATATGCAGTTTATTGAAAACATTTATAGTAAGAGAAAAGATGTGATGCAGTGATCTTAAGCTGCTTTTCCATTGAGAAGTGTGACTCCACTCTGCCCTTGTCTTATCGGTTCTTCTCAGGTGAAGGTGACTTGTCACTGTGACTTGTTTCCGCTCTGTGGGCGGAATCATCAAAAGTGGGTGGGATCAATTGGTCCTTTAGTGTTGAAGCCATTCCGCCTGTTGTGGTCCTTAATCTCCCTATAATCAGACTTTAATTTTGTTAACTTATCACTGCTTATAATACCATACTATACCATTTTATTTATAAAGCACTTAAAACAGCAACAAGGCCAACCAAAGTGCTGTACAGACAGAAAAACAGGCAACACTCAAAGCAGTATACAAAATGAGGTACATCAGAATAAAGATATAAAAACGATTCAGATATTGACTCTGTGCCTGACTCTGCGCGATTTATGCGTGTGAACTATAGCCGAACCGAACTGATGAGAATAGGAGCGGATTTGCCACGAAATATAGCAGAAATCAGCAACAAACTCAAAGCTACGCTCGGCAGAATGCAGATCTTAAAGTCATCTACCTGGAAGCTGCAGCAGAGGCGTTCCAGCGGGCAGAAGAGGAAGCGCTGCTCCCGGCTTAAGAGGAGAGGATGCCGGGCGGGGGTTATGGTGAGGCTACGAGCTAACGCTAAAGCCGGCAAACTCCCCATGCCGTCTCTCTTTCTGTCGAATGTCCGCTCGTTGGACAACAAGGTGGATTTACTTCGTCTGAGAGCGGGCGCCTCAGAAGAGATGAAGAAGTGTGCGGTGCTTTGCCTCACGGAAACGTGGATTACAAGTGAAACGCCGGACTCAGTCTTCCAGCTGGATGACAGACTTTTATTTCGAGCGGACCGCTGCAGCGAGCTAACGGGGAAATCACGGGGGGGGCGGAGTGTGCATTTATGTGAGTAAAAGTTGGTCCACGAACTGTACTGTTGTAAATAGCTCATGCTCGAAGGCTTTGGAGCAAATAACAGTGAAATGTCGGCCACATTATCTACCCCGCGAGTTCACAGTGACTTTTATCACAGTTGTTTACATTCCTCCGGACGCTAATGCTAATGAATCACTACAGGAGCTACATGATATCATCAGCTCGCTGCAGAACAAACACCCCGAGGCTCTTTACATGGTAGCCGGAGACTTTAACCACGTGAATCTAAAGGACTGTCTCCCAAGCTTTAATCAGCATGTGACGATTCCGACACGTGGAGACCGCACGCTGGACCGTGTTTACACGAACGTAAAAGATGCATACAAAGCCGAACCCCGCCCCCACCTAGGACTGTCAGACCACATCTCAATCTTCCTGGCTCCTGCTTACATGCCCCCGCTGAGACGCTCCAGACCGGTTCAAAAGAAAGTTAAATGTTGGAGCCAGGACAGTGGCCCCATACTGAGAGATTGTTTTGATCGAACAGACTGGCAGGTTTTCAGAGAAGCTGCTGAAAATGGAGGTTCGCTTGATCTTGACCAATACACATCCTCAGTACTGGGTTACATTAGTACATGTACTGACACAGTCTCCACTATCAGAAATGTTAAAAGCTACCCAAACAGAAAACCTTGGCTGAATGCAGAGGTGCGTACCCTGCTGGAAGCCAGGAACACTGCCTTCAGGTCTGGAAACTCAGAGGAGCTGAGTAGGACAAGAAAAGAGCTGGTTGCTGGTATTAAGAGGGCCAAGGCCACATATGCAAAGAGGATTGAGGGTCAATTCATCTCACAAGACCCTCGGAGCATGTGGAGAGGCATTAAGTGCATAACAGATTATAAAGGAAGGAGCGAACAATGTCCCAAAGACCCATCTCTGCCTGATGCCCTCAACAAGTTCTATGCACGCTTTGAAGACCCGAACAGACCACCCAGCACCAGACTCACCTCGCCACCGGATGAAGAGCATCTCAGCGTGACCTCAGCAGAAGTAAGGAGTACCTTCAGGAGGATTAATCCGCACAAAGCAACTGGCCCAGACAACATCCCCGGAAAAGTGTTGAAGGAATGTGCTGATCAGCTCTGTGAGGTGCTGGCAGACATCTTTAACACCTCACTTACCCTGGAGACAGTTCCCACCTGCCTGAAGACTGCCACCATCATCCCAGTCCCAAAAAGCTCTACAGTGACTGGTCTGAATGACTATCGGCCAGTGGCCCTCACCCCGATAGTCGCTAAATGCTTCGAAAAACTGGTCATGACTCACATCAAAACAACCATCAACATCAACGAGGACCCTCATCAGTACGCATACCGTGAGAACCGATCAACAGAGGATGCAATCTCCTCTGTGGTCCACACTGCACTCAACCACCTGGAGCAGAAAAACTCTTACGTCCGTATGCTCTTTGTGGACTTCACATCCGCCTTCAACACCATGATCCCCCAAACCCTGATGGACAAACTATCCACACTAGGACTAAGCCCCTCCATCTGCAACTGGGTACTAGACTTTTTAACAAACAGACCACAGTTAGTGAGGATCCACAACCTCTCCTCCTCCACCATAACCCTCAGCACTGGCTCTCCTCAGGGATGTGTGTTGAGCCCCCTCCTGTTTACTCTGCTCACATATGATTGTGCAGCTGCCCATCCAGGCTGTCACATTGTAAAGTTTGCAGATGATGCAGCGGTGGTGGGATGCATCACAAACAATGATGAGTCCAGCTACAGGCAGGAGGTGGAACACCTGGAGAGCTGGTGCAGAGAGAATAACCTTCACATCAATGTGAAGAAGACAAAGGAGATGATTGTGGACTTCAGAAGGAACAAAAACACCTACACCCCCCTGAACATAAGAGGATCTGCGGTGGAAGTGGTCTCCAGCTACAAGTACTTGGGTGTACACATGAATGACAACCTCAGCTGGAGCAACAACACCACCAGCCTGATCAAGAAAGCTCATCAGAGACTCTACTTCCTCAGACGGCTGAGGCGAGCTGGTCTGGGAAGCTCAGTCCTCATCTCCTTCTACAGGTGTGCAGTGGAGAGCATCCTGTGCTCGAGCATCAATGTGTGGCATGGAGGCTGCACAGCTGCAGAAAGGAAAGCTTTGCAGAGAGTGGTGAAGGCTGCACAGAAATCTGTTGGAATCAGTCTCCCCACCATCACAGACATCTACACCTCCAGATGCAGGAAGAGGGCCACCTGCATCATGAAGGACCCCACCCACCCAGCACACACACTTTTTGCCCCACTCCCCTCAGGAAGGAGGTTAAGGAGCATTAAGTGTAGAACCACTAGACTGAGGAACAGCTTCTACCCTGAGGCTGTTAGACTCATGAATCTCTAACTAGAATAATCACTGTGAAAAACCATATCATGTTGCTGCTGATCTGTTTCATGTTGCTGCTGATCTGTTTCAATGTTGATGTGTTCATGCGTGCACATCTGCTCACAGACTCATGTTCATGTTTGTGCTGATGTTCAATGTTTTATGTTATGAGTGCTTAGTGTATATTTAGTTGATGTTTTTCTTAGTTCATATCTTAGATGTTTTTCTTATACATTTTATTGTTGGATGTAACTGGGACCCTGTGTACATAATTTCGCTCCACCACATGTACCACATGAGGTGCGAATGACAATAAAGAAACTCTGACTCTGACTCTGATAATGACGACTAACCAGTGTGGAGCATACAAGTTCAAAACACAGATCATCTGGTGTTGAATGCTACTGAATAGTAGTGGGTTTTCAAACGAGACTTGAAAACCGAGAGGGAGGGGGCCTGTCTGACAAGCAGAGGCAACTCGTTCCAAAGGCTTGGTCCTGCTACAGAGAAGGACCTGTCACCTCTGCGCTTAAGACGAGTTCCTGGAACTGTGTGGAGCAACTGGTCCACTGACCTCAGGGAACGTGGTGGGACATACAGCTGTAGCAGATCAGAGAGATGGGGGGGATTCGCTGTTCAGCAATTTGTAGACATACATGAGTATTTTGAACTGGATTCGAAGGTGAACCGGTAACGAGTGCAGTGAGGCCAAAACTGGTGTAATGAGCTCTCTTTTGCCTGTACTGGTTAAAAATCTGGCTGCTGCATTCTGGACCAGTTGTAGTTGTGCAATGGAGGTTTGACTGATACCAAACAGGAGCGAATTGCAGTAATCAAGCCTAGATGTCATGAATGCATGTATTACTGTCTCCAGGTTATTTTTGGACAATATGGGCTTCAGTTTAGACAGCCGCCTCAGTTGGAAGAAACATGATTTAACAATCATGTTTATATGATTGTTAAGTTTCAGGTACGGGTCCATTATCACACCCAGATTAGTGACTTTTTGTTTTTCTGACAGGGTTAGAGCGGAGAGGTCGATGCAGTGGTTTGTGAGCGTGTCATTGGGAGGGAACAACATGACTTCAGACTTCTTTTCATTGAAACTTAAGAAATTTAAAGCCATCCAGTCCCTGATGTCAGCCAGGCAGTCGAGCAGAGGTTGAATAGAGCATGTACCATTGTGTCTTAAGGGGAAATAGATTTGACAGTCATCGGCGCAGAAGTGAAAGTGTATGTTGTGTTTCCGTAAAATAGCACCAAGTGGCAGCAGGTCTAAAGAGAATAGGAGGGGACCCAGGATGAACCCCTGCGGAACCCCCCATTTAAGCTCTGCCGCTGCAGAACTAAAATCATTGGAGACACAAAAGGATCTGTCAGTGAGGTAGGATCTGAACCAATTGAAGGCTGACCCTGTGATGCCCACCCACTGCTCCAACCTAGTAATGAGGATCTCATGGTCGATGGTGTCAAAGGCGGCTGTAAGGTCCAGTAGGACAAGCAGCACAGAATCACCAGTATCTGTGGTTAAGAAAATGTCATTAAAAACCTTCAGTGGGGCAGTTTCAGTGCTGTGGAGAGGTTTAAAGCCAGATTGGAATAGCTCTAAGATGGTGTGACCCTCCAGGAAGCACTTCGACTGGGACTCAGCTGTTTTCTCCAGTAGTTTAGAAACAAATGGGAGTCTGGAGACAGGCCGGAAGTTGGATACGACTGAGGGGTTAAGGTTTGTTTTTTTCAGGAATGGCTGGACAGCAGCATGTTTAAAGGTTTTCGGCACCACGCCAGTGGATAAACTACTGTTTACTATGGTAAGAATGGACAGACCTAGAGTAGGAAAAACCTCCTTTAGTAGTCGATAATAAGTCTGGGTGTAGCCATGCTACACAATCATCTCCAATATCTTGTTAAATGTGCTCATTTCTTGTAGCGCCATCTATCAACACAATGAGGAAGTGGAGGTTCAGATGTAGTTTACAGTTTTACTGGGCGGGTGACAAAGCTTTACTGGCCAGTCGACAGCTGCTGTCTGCTTACGTCAAAATCAGTACCTCGGAGCAGCCAGCTCGGAAACTCAAATGTCTACTCAAATGGTCTCATAAACCAGGCTGAGTTGGGGTGCTTGTAGTGGGCAGGCCCTTAACTGGTGCGGTGTGGTGCGGAACCGATGAGCGTTCAGACGGTGGCAAAGCACCATTAGAGAGCAACAATTGCTGCCCATCAACCTGGAAAAGGTCAAAAGGCCGTGTTCAGACAAACCAAAGTGTGACGTTCTCTAACAAGAAAAAAGTATGTATGCTAATAAGGAAAGGAGGTTCCTGAAGGTTCACTCTGAAGTCAGATAATGCAAAGTTCAGAGAAATTGAAAATAAGCAAACATAATTTTGTAGTGGTTGGTCAGTGAGTTAGATGCTAAAGTTAATGGAAATGAGAAAAATAAAACAATGTGTGGCTTGTTCTGAAGTCATGTCTAGAAATGTCTCTAAAACATGACAGCATGCCATAGTCACATCTGAACAAACTTTGACACTTCTCATCTTTAGAACGGACAATACTATGTGCTAATGTTTATAAAAACAAAAACTAAACATAACAACAACTATTGTTTTTCTGTTTGTCTGTCTAAAACAGGTCTCACTTGTAAATGAGTTTCTGAGGCTCATTGTCATTAATTTATATAAATAAAGGTAGAATGAACAACAAAAAACAAGTCAAAAGGCTGTTTAGATAAACTTCTTTGTTCTGGCCATGTTCTGGATGTCTGAAGCTTTACCAAAGTTGGGTCAGATAACATGACCTTGACGTGAACCACAGCTGCAAATCTACCACAGGATGACAGTAAACTTCATTAAGCTTTCAGCGGTCTAGGCAAGGCCCAACCCTCAACCTTATCAAAATACCGTGTTGGAAACTTAAATGAACTGTGTGTAATCAAATGGCCTCCAACTTCAGTGAACCAATGCAACATTACAAAGATTGTAAAACAAAATTCCAAGTGACCAACTATGTCATACAGAAAATAAAACATCTGAAATTAGTGCTGAATGTCATTCAACAAGATTTGAACGCATAGTGTTGGGTTTTCTACCTACTGCTTCTTTATATAAAGTTTCTAACCTCTCATAGATTAAGAGGATCAGATAATTTAATATAATTTGATACTTTAAATCTTTTGTTTTACCATGAATATAACTATAAATTAAGATAAAAATCCTTCCTACTGTTTTTAATATGTACATTAAAACTTCAAATTATGATTTAATGTTGCACTTGATCTATTTGTCTTTTTTAAGTCACTCCACTTATATCCTGAAACAATAAAAATATAAAATAAATCAATCAGTTGTAATTTGGGTGCTGTGTTCACTTACCAGGGCCAAAACCAGAAGGAGAGCTCCAAGTCAGCGTTGATGTACATCCAGGAGTTAAAGGCAGACTACAGAGGTCAACCACTGCTCAACTGTCTCGAATCCTTAAGAGTCTCACTCAACAACAACCCTGTCAGGTAATGTTCAGAGTCTGGGTATTGTTTTTTCTGCCTGCTTTTGTTAAATAATGCTTCACTGAAGTGCCAAGTCTCATTTGTTTATCAAACACTGTCAGATAGATGTGATTGCTGTAATGGCTGAAACATTTTTCCAAAGTCAAAAGTGATTGTTTTTTAAATTATTATTATTATTATTGAAATTGATTACTTGAATTCCTTCACGCAGACTTCAACAGACACTGACATTTCCTGAGTTGGTGCAGTATCAGACTTTGATAGCTGTTGCCATCAATTTTAGTACTTTCTAGCTGTAAAAATATTCACTTTCTGCTGCACTGTAGATCAGCCTGAGATTATGTTATTTACTTATCCAGTCAAATACTGGAAACTTCTCAGGTCGCTTTTCTGCTACAATTACTGTGTTTATAGAAAATGCAGGATGGCTGTTTTGAAAGAGTTTACAATACGCAGATTAATTACAGTGGTGTAGCTGACAGGATTGTGTTAAAAAAAACACACTCGAACAGTGCACAATGACTGAGTTTTTATAAAAGCATTTTTTAGATAAATAAAAAAAAACGTGCAACATCTATCAAAACAAATTGTCCTGCAGTGGAGTTTATATACTGTGTGTCTGTAAGTTGAGCTGGAAGTTCCAACAATGCAGTGATTCTCATTAGTAGTGTTGAAGTATTTTAAATGTAAGAAACAGCATTATAGGTCTATTATTTAATACCCTTAAAAGGCAGTTTATAAACCACTAGCAGACGAGATGAATATAGAAATTCTGCCACAATCTAGTTTCAATCAAACATGTTTTATGTGTATATATTGTTTCAAAAAGAAACAATCATTGTTTTTCATGTAACTGCAAGTTCGATGACAAGTTTAATGCTGAAGAATGGTTGATTTTTCAATAAAAATAGATTTTATTATGACCTAAATATATTCAATAGAATATGAATAAACAAACAAAACAAAAAAAAAATTATATATATATATATTTATATAAACAAACAAAAAAAAACGGTCTAATTATATTGTCTCTTCCAGTTGGGTGCAGAATTTTGGAAATGAGGGCTTGGCTCTGCTTCTGAATTTACTAAATAGACTACAGGAGGAGAAAGATGAAAACCCGTAAGTCACATAAACCCAAATCAAAAGAGGTTAATTGTTATGGTGGTAGATGGTGTTTGTGATGCCTTTTTGTGTTTGTGTCATCCACACACCAGACCGATGGGGGTAAAATGTCAGCACGAGATAATTCGCTGTTTGAAAGCCTTTATGAACAACAAGGTGAGTCGCTTGGCTGTTTTTAAAAACAAAAGTAAAGTTATAGATTTTTATTATTTTTGTAATGTCACACTTCTTCCACTAGATGGCAGCATAATTAAATTTGACCTTTGGTCAGGTCAATACAGTAAAATTTGTCACTAAAAATCATTGCCTTTGTAAAATCTGTCTCTTTTGTAACATATTGTTCTTATACTTAACTCTATTAAAAAAGGGACATCTTTAATAACTTTTGTTTTTTTTAGCACATCTTTGTTGATGTAAATAATTTTTACATTGAAGAAAGTTTAGCACAAGAAGGACTTATTTTGTTCTGCTTATTCTCTTTGTTAGTACGGTTTAAAATCCATGTTGGAGTCGGCTGAGGGAATTCCTCTGCTGGTCAAAGCCATCAACCCCAGGGTGCCCCACATGATGGTGGATGCTGTGAAACTGCTTTCTGCCATCTCCATCCTGGAACATCCCGAAAACCTGTAAGAATCAGTCATATGTTAAAGTCATGTAATTAAATACACTCAGAAATAACAGACTCAAACACTGTTTATTACAGTTTATCTCTTGAGCTCAAATATAACAAAAGTCCTTTTCTTTACTCACCAGTATGTTAAGTTTAAATGTCAGTTTTTGAGTTAAGTCTTTAAAAATGTTTTATGACTTTTTTTTGTCTGATGTGACTACATTTTGAAAAGTTTTCTGTAATGTGTGTTGTTGTTTATTTTTGTAGCCATGAGCGTGTCTTGGAGGCCATTACTGAAGAAGCTGAGAGACGGGACATTGAGAGGTTTCAGCCTCTTCTTTCTGGCATAAACAATCAAAATATTGCTCTTAAGGTACACATTTCAAGAACTTTAGCGATATGTGATTTTGTTTTCTTTTTTCAAATGCTGTTAAAATGTGGTATTACTTGATATAATTTGAGTCTAAAATATTTAATCAGCTAACAAATTGAAGCTATAAAGCTGTCTTCTCTATGTGTGTTGTCAGGCTGGCTGCATGCAGCTGATCAACGCTTTAATCAGCCGGGGAGAAGAGTTGGACTTTAGAATCCATATTCGTTCTGAACTTCTAAGACTTGGACTTAGAGACATCCTGAAGGTAAAACATAATGCTAATTGTTAATTTGCTGCAACAAAACATGTTCACATTGTTATTGTATTTTTTCTTGTCTTGATGCCTCCATGTTCCTTATAGACTCACTCACTTGCTCTGTTAAAAAATAAATAAATAAAAACAAAACTCAACTGTCCAAACTAAAAATGCTCCTCCTGTCATTCTCCCCTGAACCGTGTTCATCCCTCTGCCTCCGTCTCATCCTGTTCTCTGCAGGAGGTGCAGAAGATCGAAAATGAAGAACTGAAGGTGCAGCTCATGGTGTTTCATGAGCAGGCTGAGGACGACTCCGAGGACCTCAAAGCTCGTCTTGATGACATCCGCATCGAAATGGAATATCCTTCTGATGTGGAAAAAGGATTTCTTTTTAGTTGAAACCGTCACTTCTTTTAAAGTATGAACATCTTAATGCCTACTTATTACATTATGCTTTTGCTTTCTCTCTTCTTTAACATTATTATAAAGAAAAAAAATCATATTGCTCATTCATTAGAATCAGCTCTCTAACTTGTAGAAATATTTGTATTGACTGAATCTTTAAAACTGTTGAGAGTCTTGAACTACAATTTGCACCTTTTCTCCTTGTGTAATTTCTCAGCTGTCAGTTTATTCTAAATCAGTCATAAAAAATATATGTTCCTTTTTGTGATGATAATCTTTCTGGTTCTATCGTTATTGTCACTTTCCAATCATGTAAACGGCATTTAATTTAATTAATATCAGCATGTCACCTTTAGTGATAAAAAGACAACAAATCCTCCGATCTGCTGTAAAGCAACTTCAAATTGTCTTAATCTTTAGATGCAGTTTAAATAGAAAAACAGAAACTTGTCTTTAGTCTGTTTGTATATGAGGATTCATGTTGCTACCATGTCAGTCCAGGACAGATATGTGTGGATTAATCTCTTCAAAAAGCTGAATTTTATGTATTTATGCCCCATAATAATAACATGGTCAGGATAAGAGGATGAGTTTCATCACACAATAGGTCCTCTTGTCAGTTTTTTTTAAGATGTTAAAAATTGTGTTTTTTAAAGTAATTTATCTTCTCAAAAATCATCTGATTGTTCTATTATTTTCTGCTTTTGATGTGCAGTTATAATGTTCAACACCAGGTGTCTCCCAGGCGTTGCCACTGACCGCACAGCCTGCTCATTCAATAAATCCAATAAAGTGTTACAGTGGTTTATATTGGTTGTAAAACACAAATATACACGTTTGGTGGAATTCAAGATGATAATGATGAACACTATATCTTTGCTGTGTTTCATGTATGCTTCACTGTAAGCCTTTGGTCCAGTGACAGTCTTTAGTGTGCAGATATGGAGGTAATTTTTTTTTTTGTATACAGATGTTGTGTATATAATGTTTTTACTTGTCTGTTGGTTTGGTTAATTCAACCTTAACTGGATTTGCTTCACCGATGTGAGGGAAGTGTTTGACATTTTGGCAAACACAGTGAAAGACTCCAAAGCTGAAATCCACTTCATGTCTTTGATGCAGCACCTGCTACTGATCCGTAATGATTATTTGGCCAGGTACAACACGCACACACGCACACACGCACACACACACACACACACACACACATACTGACACTCACATATTCATCTGCTCACACATTTATATTTCACACAATATAATTTTCTATTTCACACATTTCTTTTATTATGATTATCAGTTTTAATTGACACTAAGTTTGACATTTAAGTATGGATGCTCCGATCAGGTTTTTTTCTACCCAGATACCAATTACTGATACCAATCACAGATACGGATCACATGGATTGGCTGTAAATTTTTTGATTAAGTTAAGATGAGTTCTACTTGCTACGTGATCTGGAAAATCGGGACCATAAAATCACCTTAATTTGGACAAAAGCGTGTTTTTATTTACTTTTACAAGACAAAAAATAAAAATAAAAACTTGCAGACACAATACAGCAAGTATTCAGTCTAAAGGAAAACTGACAAACCACTTAAATGTACAGTACCTGCTATCAGTAACGCAAAATTTTAACAGATTGAAAACATTAAGGCTCTCAACAGGCTAAATAGTGCAGAAAGTAATAAATCTCAAAACATTGCTTATATATACCACTGGACTTCTGCAGGCTGCAAAGGTGATCGGTTTTTATGATCGGCACAGAAAGGCATTGATCGGTATCGGCCGATCACATACTCTTTAACGGAAACAGGCCAATCATGATTAGTGGCCGATCGATCGGAACATCTCTACTTTTAAGAGTTGCAGTATGTTAATTTAAATGTTTCCAAACTAATCTTACTTTTACCCAGTCCATGTGGAGTTTAAAAAGTGGAACAGCTTTATGTAGCTTATAACACTAATAATAATAACTTTTATTTATAATGCACTTTACATTCACAATGAATCTCAAAGTGCTACAAAGAGTGAACATCAGATAACATCTGGATAAAAGCAACCATAAAAGCAACCGAGAGGAGGAACAACCAGGAGGATAACACCTCAGAATGAACACATCAAAAACTTAAAATGCACAAAATGCAGATAAAATACTCAAATAATAACTATGGGTGAATAAAAAACAAAAGTACAGTGCAATCAATTAAAAAACTGGGTAAAAAGAAAGGTTTTAAGACCCGTTTTAAAACATGTCACGGTCTGTGGGGCCCTCCGATATGAAGGTAGGGTGTTCCACAGCCAAGGTTCATGTCCAGCAGTCAGTGTGCGAGAGGCAGGGGACACCCTGGACAGGGCTTCAGTCCATCACAGGGACACACAGAGACAAATGAGACAAACCATTCACTCTCTCTCTCACACCTTGGGACAATTTAGAGTTACCAATCAGCCTAATATGCATGTTTTTGGTTTGTGGAAGGAAACCAGAGTACCTGGAGAAAACTCACGCATGCACAGAGAGAACATGGAAACTCCACTCAGAAAGGTCACCGGCCGGGATTTGATCCAGCCACACGCTCCCTGAGAGGCAACAGCTCTACCAATTGAGCCACCGTTCTCTTAAAAAAAATAAAATAAAATAAAAAGATTTCCTTTATTAAAAAAAAAAAATCACAGTATTCTTGTCATTCATTTTATAAACACAAAAGGACCACAAGGTCAGTCATCACATTGTTAATAAATCACAATATTCATCGATGGACAAGATACACTCATGTGCTGCAGACATGATGTGATTAAAAACATTAATATAGCTGAGAAAAATGAACTTCACAAAGAGATACTTTTTCCTCTTACAATTCTCCTCACATCCTCCTTTCAGCCATTTCCTCCAGTTGCTATTTGTTTTCTAGAGCACCACTCTAAAGCAGTGAAATTAATAAATGCAAAGAAGTCCAGTTTCATTTTAATAGAATTGAACACCATCCACCCTTATCTGAAGAATATGCTAATTCTTCCTCTGCACCCTCCAGAGCCCTTAGTTTCAGCTGAAAGAAAAGGAGGCAAAAGAAAGGGAACAAGATGGACGTAAAACTGTTAGGTGTTGGACATTTTGCACACCTTTTTAGTTATGAACAACATAGATTTTTATTTAATAGCCAATATATACAAGAATTGGGCAACATTGTGGTTCAGTTGGTAGAGCCGTTGCCTCTCAATGAGAAGGTCGCTGGATCAAATCCCGGCCAGGGACCTTTCTGGGTGAAGTTTGCATGTTCTCCCCATGCATGTGTGGGTTTTCTCCGGGTACTCCGGTTTCCTCCCGCAGACCAAAAACATGCATGTTAAGCTGATTGGTAACTCTAAATTGTCCCTAGATGTGAGTGAGAGTGTGAATGGTTGGTTGTCTCATTTGTCTCTGTGTCCCTGTGATGGACTTGTGATCTGTCCAGGGTGTCCCCTGCCTCTCACACAGTGTTGGCTGGATATGGGCACCAGTGACCCTCATGATCCGCAAAGGAAGAAGTGGGTAAAGATTATGGATGGATGGACATGTATACAAAATGAGTTCAGCTGTTTAAATTGACGTGGCATAGCTTGTGCATTATTTATTTTCTTAATGTACATATCATAGTTGCTTTTTTACATTTTTGGAAATTTTAAGGATGAGTATGGCAAGGTTTCAAGAAGAACTAATCTTAGCTAAAGTTTTTTGTAGCATTCCTTCAGTCTTTTCCATCCTTTTCTTCCCTCCCATTTCCTCACAACAGATTCACAATAGACAACAGACATGGTGTATAATGGTGTCCAAAGACTGACAGACAGTAAGGGGAGGTGGAGATTGTGAGACAGTTAATGGAAATTGAAAGTTGAGGTAAATTGCTGCTTTAAAGCACCTACCAATTTTCTCCTTTCACTTTTAAGTAACTACTTAAACCTGAGAATTTAATAGATTAATATATAAAATATGGCCACACTTATTTATTTACTGTAATTATGGACTTGTTACATGGATTTTAGGAATACAAAGAGATTTACATGCCATAGTCTCCTCTCCCCCAGTTTTTTATTTTTATTTTAACAACTAATCAACTTTAATGTACCCCCAGGCGTACAAATGTTGTCTTCTTTTGGAATAGTTTTTTAAAAAATATATTGTGTTCAAGATTATAAATAATATCAGATGTAAAATTCAAGTTTTACCAAAAGTACACTAGATGTCTCTCTCGCTCCACGAATAAATCTTAGTCTTGGTGAGAGAAAAAAAAAAAAAGTAAAATCCCTGAAGTGTAGTGAAGAACTGAAAACCATATTAGACAAAAGCGAGTGAATAAGAAAGCAACCACAATAGGAAGTAGACAGATAAATAAAGTGTTGAGATTTTGATTCTGGCAGCAACTAATGGGGTCAGGGAATTAGACACCTCCAAAATTGAGTGTCTGTGAAGTTGGCTTGATCAGACATTTGGCGCTCGACACAAACCAGTGAGCTCTCACAGAAACAGTTGCACACAATCAATCTTTGTGACAAGAAACTCAAACTGCTCTCCTCGCACAGACAGCCAATTTCAGTTTCAAAGACAAAGTAGCAAGAGATTGGTGTTCACATATTTGTCTGAGGAGGCCAACAAAGTTGTTTTGAGTCGTAGTCTGACCTGCTACTCAAACGCTGTCAGATTTGTTATTGACTTGAGAGCTGATATTATTAAACACATGCATTTGCTTTTATTATGAAATATGCTATAAAGAGTCATATGCCATAATCTGCATTATAATCGTCTCTACCTGCCTTTTCATCGTTGTGCATCTCCTTCCTTCCTGCAGGCCTCAGTACTACAAGTTGATTGACGAGTGTATCGCTCAGATTGTGCTACATAAGAATGGAGCAGACCCTGACTTCAAATGCCGTCACCTCGAGTTGAACGTAGAAAGCTTGATAGGTGAGCTGTTGGATCATTTAGATTATTGAGAGATACCTTCTTGCTTTTCACCTGCTGCTATTCTTTAATGCACACTCAGGTTTTTAAGATCAATATGCATGCATGCATCTCAAACATACTTGGGTTTAAAACACGGGTAACATGACAAAAGTTTTGTTGAGAATTGGAACTGATGTTATTATTAGATGTTACTGATCACTGAGGGGAGGGCATTGTTGACACCACAAGGTGGAGCCAGAGAGGAGTACAAACTGAGTTTTTCTACAGGTTTTAACACAGTAGATCAATTGTGTAAAATACATTTTCCCAAAAGATTTTTCTTTTTCTCAAATGCAGCAATCCCCAAATCCTTTTGTACTTAGTTGGTACCTCTCACACTCTGATGGTGACTGTATTAATAAAACAAGCCAGCAGTGTCTGGATTCATTTGTCTGCAAGCATCTCAAGGTGCCTGTGACACGGAGAGGCAAGACACAATCCCTAGCAGCTACAGGCATGACACAGACTTTTCTACGGGAATCAAAGTATTAAGGCTGATTTATGGTCTGTCAGAGCTACTTTGTACGACATGCTGCCTTGAATGTTTATACCTGATTCGAATGGAAGTACTCGCAGATAAACAGCAAAGCATTTCCAGTGATGCAGGTGATGCTGTTATCATTAAATTAGGGGCATTAGGTCGCTTCAAGAAGAAATTCATATGGTTCCACTTGGTTTAACCAAATAAAATGCAACAAATAAGTTGAATAAATGGAAAAAAGAGGTGTTTAAAGCAGTTGACTGGGGTGGAAAATCTGGTTAGTCATGGTGTGAAGTGTTTATAAATGACAGATTGTCAGATTTGTTTTGAAAACGAGCAGAAATGGTTGTGCACAGACCTTAATCTGCCATCAAAAAGTGTTGGGAGAGGGGATTAAAGCCAAGTTTATTACCACCACTGATTCCTGTGATCTGTGCTTTGTCACCCTCCATTGAATATAAAATAGCATTGGACTTGTTTCTCATAAAAAATAAAAAATAAATCCTTAATAAAAAAAATCATTCAACACTTGTGTGCATGCAGATTTGCTGACTGGAGTGGCAGTCGTAAGTGAACCCTGACTGTCGTGAGCTGAACCCGAGCAGAACGCAGGTGCAGGGCATGTCTCGTGGGTTCAGTGCTCTTTATGGCAGGTCTCCGTTGCTCACTGCAGGAGCTCCTAATTGCACTGCTTCTAAATGCGTCCTGACGCGCGCAGGCAGGCTGCCCTCTTTTAAGCCTGTCAGAGTTATTATTGGTGGAAAGCAGCCCAATTCTGCCCTGCATGCATTATTTAGTGTTTTTCTTTGAACTCTGAAATTCAGCACAGTTCTCTCTGCATTCTGTCTCTCTTAGTGCTCTCTATTCAGAGTTTGTCCCATTTAGCCCCAGCCTCCATGGCAGACCCGCCCCCAACTCCAAATCCATTACACAGCCACATAAACATGTACACAAATATGCACTGAAATTTCATGTGGCTTGGTATATTGCTATGAAGTTCTTGAATCAGACACAAACGTTCTTCGCATTTTCATTTAGCACAAAAGGCTTTCTTTTTTCCCCTCTATAATGTCTAAAACTCTAAATTTATACTTCATCTTTTCACAGTCTGCACGGTTCACTTTCAACTTGCCTGTACAAATACTGTTATATCTTTTTTTTTTTATTATTATTTTAGCTTCTCACAACCTTCTATTTTTGCTATCTGCTTCAATACTTTACCCCTCCTGGGCATCATAAGCTCTCTTTGATCTAGTGACATTGTGGCATTCATCTTCATATTAATTAGCTCTATCGCTGCACATGCTTGGTAAGCCCCTCAGCGCTGAGCCACCTGTTGACCCTGCAATTATTCACTAAAAGTATCCTGTTGGTCATTCTGTGTCCTTCCCGCCCTGTCCTCTGCTGAGCAAAATATCTGATAATACAAAAACTCCCAGACGAGATTTATCTTGCATAAAGGGAGACTGGTGTGCTGCTGCCTCTGTCACAAATGCCTGTAGTCAAACAAAGGTGTGTGTACTGAAGGCTTAAAAGGTAATGATATGTAGAAGCAGCAAGCAACACAAAGCATATCTGCTTGTAATGAGATGGATCTGGAATCACCTCATAGATCCTGACTGCGAGTGGTGTGATAAGGCAGAAAAACAGGAAGACAGATGCATCGGTTTGTATATTTATGTGGAGACACATAACATGCCAGACTATAAAATACAATGGCTTTGTGGCTAGACATGTGCAGGCGTGTTGTCAAAACGCTTATCTTATCTATAACCACTCTTCCGCTTTCCTTTTTTTTTCTTTTTTCTTTTTTCTCTGTTTTTGTGTATAGACAATATGGTGAATCAAACCAAAGTGGAAATCAGTGAGACAAAAGCCACTGAGCTGGAGAAAAAGGTAAAATATGCACACAAATCTTTAATAGAAACTAATCAATGTTTTCACACAGACTATTTTACAAAAAAAAAAACTATCAGATCAGTATCATCAGTCCTAAACTCCTGCTATTGTAATTAAATTCTGATTGATCTTTGCCAGGATGTAAGAAATCAGAAAGAGAAAAGAAGAAAGTTTGCCAAAAATTGAGCATCCCCACATTTGAAAGGCACCAGGCAGACAAGCGCTCACACAAACACACAAGGGGGTAAATGCTTTGATTGTCGTGTGCTGCTAGCCTGATGTTTCCATCCCTGTGACAGGATAATTGGAAGGAAGCAGCTGAAAACTCGCCTTCATTCTTGCATGCATTAAGATACGCGGTTTCATGTGGGATCATATCCATCGAACTGACACACATCCACACAGCCACTCTCTCCATGAAGACACTCAAATTCATTTTTTATGGACCACACACATCATTTTGTTAGTTGTGCATGATGGGATAATTGCAAGCAGTCCCTTTGGCAGGAATTAAGGATAAGGCTGTCAGGCTGCTGACAGCGAGAGTAACAGATCCGCTTTCTGCAAATTAGACAGCCATGCGTGTCTGTGTGTTCATGTATTCATCCCTTTTTTAATACTTACTCTGTTTGTCAGGAGTCTTTAAGAATGTGTAGTAAGTGCGAAAATTAAAATTCAAGTAAAATGTTTCTCTCATTAAGGTTGAAGGTTTTAAAGAAGAATTGAAAAGTGAGCTCATACAAAAGCAATGAAGCGTCTTCAGTTTATAACTGACACTAATTTGCAGTGTAAATTATACAGTAAAACACAAAGCAGACTGCTAGAAAAATGGTTTCAACAGGTCTTTGAGGTATGAAGGCTGCTGCCTCTTCAAGGATGCTGAAAGCTTGTGCATTCAAGCACACGTTCCCCCTCACATTTCATTATAGGACACCTAATGTTCGCTGCTTCTTCCACATCCATTTAATGAAATGTTAGCAAATTTATATCAACTTTAAAAACGAGACTTTAATGTTAATATGAAGGGATTGTCCCTTAATATTTATGCAACCTTTTATAGAAGTAGGTTTTCCTGCAAAATCCTCATCAATAAAATCATTTTGCAGTTTTATTATTCTGGCTAATAACCTAACATAACCTGTAATATTTGAATAATTTACAAAGGAAACTTGTTTAAAACAAATTGTATACCAAGGATGTACCAAACCAGTGGGATATTGCTGAATATGTATTACATTCAAACACAGAATTACCACTTTAATGGTGTCTGTGCAGCCCAGGGATTAATATGACCTTTTTCTGAGAGTCCTTGAGAACTCTGAGAAAACAGTCCATTGCTTTTCAGATGACTCCTCTTGAAATGAACTGGAAAAATGAGCTCTACTTTTCACTTTTGAAGAATACTCAAGGCAGTGTCCTCCTCTAACTATGACTTAAATCTCTTTATATCAGCTGGATGCAGAGTTGATGGCACGCCACGAGTTGCAGGTGGAGCTGAAGAAACTGGAGGGTGATTATGAACAGAAGCTGCTGGACCTCAGCCAGGAGAAAGAACAGCTGGCCACTTCCAAGCAGGAGCGAGAAAAGGAAAATCAGGCACTACAGCAAGATCTAAGCTCATTGCAGAAACAGGTACACTGAAGTAAAACATTTTCTATTGTCTTCAATTTAATCTAATTATAAGCTGCTTTTATTTTATTGAGTGCGTTCACATCAAAACTGCTCAATGTAAAAAAAAAAAATTAAAAATCTGTCTTCTAGAAATGTTCATCTTAAGTTAACCATCTTGGGTTAATCTAATTCAGTATATGATTTATTATTGCACTACATTTTCCGTGTTAAAGAACTAAACATTTAGAGCAGTACCAAAGTGACTGAGTTAAATCATTGAATACAAGTTGTTTAATGTCCTAGAAACCCAAATCTAAAATTACAACCACAAGAAAGCTCCAAGAAACAATGTTTCAAGGCATAACACCAAAAAGTTGTCTGACATCATTTCATACTCGGAAAGACGGAAACCCCCTGGTTGTTTATAATTTAGCCAAGCAATACTTAAAAAGAAGGAACAAAACTAAAACAGATATTGTGAATAGAAGCTGAATCCTGTAGAGATTAGGAATGTCTATAAATAATAGAAAGTGGGAGAATCAGAGTGACTCAAGTGAGAAGAAAGAAGAAACTGGACTCAGGACAACCACATTTTTAAGGCCAAGACACACACCCCGTTAGTGTGTACACTCGTGGCAAAGATGAGGATTGTTTAGCTGTCAGTGTCCTGCTGACACACCAGCTGGACTCTGCCTCACAGTGACAAACAAACACACCAAGTGACCCAGAACCGTCTGCCTCTGTGCATGTGTGCCCATAACCTTATGAAGACATTTCTGTGTGTGCCTGTCAGTTGAACAGCTACATCACTTGCAATATGAGCATCATCCACAGTGGCTGATGCCAGCAGAGTCAACTTCTAAACACACAAAGGCTCTAAACAAACACACACCGTTGTCCAAAGCATCAAACGCATCACGAGCCAGGCATCAAACGAACTTCTCATACAAAGATGGCTCACTTTCTATGTTTGAGGCACTGCCGATGGAAGATTTCTTCACATGTAGAGATCTGTGTCCCAGTGTATGATGCCGTGCCCATTTCTTCATCTGCTGCCGCACTAAGAAAGCCTGCCTCGAAGGCTCCATTTGTCTGTTACTGTCTTCTTTTCAGTCTGGGAAAACAACACAATTTGTCACGCTGCTGCATGTAGACGCCACACACACACTTTTTTTTTCACTTGACATACTTAAGAGCAAAGAAAATAGTCTACTCGATACATATTCACTTTTCATTGTCTATATCTTTCAAATGCTGATCTGTTTCGATTAACTTGTGATTTTGAATAACTTGGGCAGTTTTCTTTAAAAGTTAGCACCTATTGATGTCAAATCAATATTTCAGAATGAAAATGAGAAATTCCTTTCACAATAACTTGTAAAACAAAAGTTTGTCTTCCTCTTTTAAAACTTCTTTTGAATTCCTCTGTGGACTTAATTCCCTTCTGCTATGATTTCCACTGTGTGCTCTGCCCTGCATTCTCTCCCCATCTCTTCCAAAGCTCAGTCTTTTCATGGCTTTAATCACTCTTCCTCTTTTGTTTTGTTTTTCATTTTCTTCTGTTGGCATCTGTTTTTATTGGAAGTGATATTTACCAAGTGTTATGAAAAGAGTCAAAGAATGCAGATTATACAATAAACTTATTCATTTTTTTGTTTGTTTGTTTGTTTTTTATGTAGGGCCATACAAAACTTTAGTTGTAGCCTATTACTTAAAAAAAGAGACAATCAACATAATAAGACCCCAGCCTGTGTGTCACTCTTAAACCAGGTTTGATTAAATACACTAAGCAACGTCTAAAAACGTTTGTCAGTTGTTGCCTGTTCGTAAGATTTGGAGATAACCGTAGGCTCAAATAAGGTTGTAGATCAAACGCTTGAAATTTTGACTTTTATTTTATAATCATGGTATGCGAGGTTTTGCATCAAACCAGGCTTGGAGAATGCACAAGTCTACTCGAGTAGACTACTAGACAAGTGGCAGAATGTTAAAGTAATTTGGATTGAAGCTGCAGTGATTATATGATTATAACGAAGAAACTTGTTTTCTTTGACCAATTTTTTTTTTTTACTTTTTCAGACTTTATTCCCATTAAATAAAAACATAAGCTGTTGGTTGTGCAAATGACTCGGTAACCCAGTCAGTCACTGCTTGTTTATCAGGGATGCAAACCTGTCTTTCTTTTCAAGGTAAAGTGAAACAACTGTTTACAACAAGCTACAGGCGTCGGCACATCAGTAGGTGCATAACAGCAAACTGCAGGCTTGCTACAGAAGATAATATTCCAATTACGTAAATAACCAACATCGGCCTGTCAGGCTCTGTGTTACTTTACAAATAGCAGAACAGCAGAGAAGTAATATTCTGTACAATATGCACAATTACTTTATAATTCTAAATGCATTTGCATCTGCTGCTGTAGTTCAGTTTCTGTCTGCCACTTGTGTGTATCTTGTGGAGCTTATAGGAAAATACCTTTTCCTTATACCTCAAAATGGGAAACACCTTGTTCCTAAGATACCCCACATACGTCACCCAAACAAAAAACAGTTTCTTAAACGATACATTTCTGCTCTCTGATGAACAGCACTTGTACTATATGTGAAGAACTGCCTACATGTCGTTAAACAAGCTGCTCATAGGGAATTGTCAATAATGTTCTCCACAATCTGTTTAAAAACACTTAATTTTAAACAAACTGACATTATATTTAAAATTTAATCCCAATATTATGATTAAAATAAAATAAAAAAATGTGTTGAATCATTATTGTAGTGAGACACGTGAGGTACGTGTCACTTGTTGTATGACAAATATATGGATATATATTTATGCATACTTTTCACGAGTTCTTCATTTTTCTGACTGTAAATGTCGTGCATTGAATTTAACAGAAATGTGAACGAGAGACGTTATTTATCTTTGACCCATCAAATGAATGGAATCATTTATTTTCAAAATCAAAGTTTAACATCAAACATTTACATTAATTTGGCAAAATATGAAAATAATAACAGACAGTTTCACAGAAAATGAACTTCAAATCACTCGGCGGTGATTTGAGGACTTTGCTTAAGATATTTCTAAAATATCTGTACTGATTTATGAGAGAGAGGTGGGTTTTAGAGTGAAAGGAGATTATCTTACAGAGAACTGTGTGAGGGAAGTTTAATCTGTTTAACCAGAAATTGCACGCTTCGTCAGATCCTCAGCTTCTCACGGTACACTTGGTCAAAATAGAACCATCTACCTGTTGACGATGAATCAGCGCTGGATGTAGTTCCTTTCTGACTCGTTTCAGCGTCTCCGTCGAGAGCTACCAAACCTTCAGAAAGTCGTGCGTTGATTAGCTCAAAACAGAATTATAATCCCAAACGTTCCTGGTTCTTCATAACTCCAAACTCTTCATAACCGGCTGCACTCTCAATCTGCTCATTCTGTTGGACTATCGGACCTGTTGTCAGCTCTCATTCCAACATCTCTCAGAACTCTCATTCTCTTGGAATTCTGGAATCCATAATTCTCTATTCCTTCTCTTTTCGAATCTTCTCCTACTTGAACTGAGAAGTTGCCACATTTTATTTGGGTCGACTTCCTGTTCAATTTAGAGCTTTCTGATTCGTGGAAGGACCAGAAAGAGGAGTGGATTTGTGACGTAAGATGTTATCATAAGTCAAGGATTGTTTACAACATACAGAAAAGATTATTTCAGCAACAGCAGACTTCGTGGAGTCTCACACTTTGTAATCTTTTCAAATAGTAAAACATGACATTTTTCTCGGTAAACATTTTAGTTGACCGAAAACCAACCTTTAACATACTTACGACAGCTTGCTCATTTCAGACATAAAATCAAGAAAGGCATATTCAGGTGATTTCTTCTCTGAATGAGGAACAAAAATCATTACTTACTGTTTATGTAAAATAAAAATTAGTAGTTCTTTTCAACCTGTAAAGCATTGAGTGAACTAACACAATTTGATTATCAAAACATTTGTAAGACAGTAATGATTATAAAGAATTGTCTTTTCTGCTTGATTAATTCAAGAAAGAAAGTTCATCAGATGGTTCAGACTTATTCAGATCAATGAAAATAACAGTCTCTGTCCATCTGGTAGATTGAATTAAAAACGGTTTGAATAGAAGCTCATCACAAAATTGTGTACATTCTGTCCTGAGTGCACAATAAAACTGTCACAGATTTAAAACCAAATAACTGTCAACATGCTTGTTTATGTGCTCCTTATTTACATAGTTTTATTAAAATAAAAATAATTACAAGTAAATGCATATATACATTAAATACATACATTTTATACAACCTAACTTAATGGTTAAATAGTGTTAATGACAGAATTATAACTTTGTTTTCCTGCAGATTGAAAAGCTCTCAAAAGATCTGGAGGAGGCCAAAACTAAAGTTGTTACAGTTACTGTTCCTGTGCCAACGCCTGGTTTTCCCCCTCCACCGCCTGCCCCTCCCTTGCCTGGTCAGAATGCAGGTATGCCCCCTCCACCCCCACCCCCACCCTTACCTGGCATGGGGTCATTACCTTTTCCCCAGCCTCCACCCCCTCCTCCTTTACCAGGTCAAACCGGTGTTCCTCCCCCTCCTCCTCCACCTCCTTTACCTGGCATGCCAGGCCCTCCCCCACCCCCACCTCTTCCTGGCATGCCAGGACCACCACCACCCCCACCCTTGCCAGGTATGGGACCTCCACCGCCACCACCTCCGCCTGGTGTTCCAGGTATTCCTCCTCCACCACCTGGCCCAGGTATACCCCCACCTCCACCAATGGGCGTTTGGATTGCCCCTGCACCACCTGCACTACCGTTTGGACTCCAACCTAAAAAGGACTACAAGCCTGAGGTCCCAATGAAGAAAGCAAACTGGAGCAAGGTGAGGCCTGATGCAGATGATGAACAAATATGAAAATGATCACCTGACGTTAAAAATGGCCCTTGTGACTCAGATGTTTAACTGTTAGACTTGGGTGTAATCTGCCTCGAAAACAAAAGTCATTTAAGTTATGGAATGAGTTTGTTATTAGCTGCTTTATCACTCTGGCTGCCTTTGTAAACTTAATTTTCTCATTTTATTGTGCCAAGGCGATCTGAAAGAGCTCAGCGTGTTTTTATCTGTACATCAGTTTGAGAGAATTGAGAAACCAAGCTTTGACCGTGAGATTTTTACCTAAAGTGACTTGCATGCATACGTGTATCTCATGACTATGTGCTTCATGTTCTTCTACGCCTTCTCATCTGTGATGGTTAAAACATCAAAACGCCCTTCTGTCTTTCTTTAGCCTAAAGCTACTGTTTAATGGCTAAAGCAGACTTCATCAGCATTTAGCTTCTACCTCTCTCGCTCGCTCTTTGTTGGGATGGTGCGAGGGTTTGACGAGGATGTCACAGAAATTGCGGTTTAATAAGCCTTCTTCTTTTAGCTGCACCACTGAAAGATAATTAAATTGCTGCTAGAAAGGATGGTATTCTTTTGTAATTTAAATTAACTTTTTTTTTCAGCTTTGGCCTCATCCTTTTTTTGCATGCACTCTTGCTTTTTTTTTGGGGGGGGGAGCTCATTCCCAGATCACATTTCTTTTCCTTACTCTGTCTTTTCTATCCTACACCCATCCCCGAGGCTTTGTCCACAATGAAAGGCCTGATATCTATAAATTTTCTACCACTGCTTTCTCACTTGTTCTGGGTTTTCTTTTCTCTCATTCTTTCCCCTTGATGAGAACATTCAGAAAGCGGGAACAACAATATGGAACGTTAATTGTAACTTATATGGGTGCATACAAATAAGGGGTAAAGAAAAGAGTAAAGAAGGGAGAAAAATATATTTTTCTCAAAATTGAGCTCAAGTTTCTTGGTGGCAAAAGTGTGCAACAATTAGAGCAAATGACTACATGCATCTTCCTCTTTGTGTTCTTCCTTCATCATCTTCCACTCTCATCATACCTCTGCCAGTTTCTTTTGTTCTATTGACTTCTTTTTCTGCTTCTCATTGTTTGCCAGGTGCACAGATAACCATTTTGGAACAACTGAGTCTGTTTGATGAAACAATTATATAAAAGATGTGATTCACTTCACTCTTCATTTTGTCCCCCTCTGCCTCCCCCTTTCTGTGCATACTGACCTTTATCTGTCTTAGATTGAACCAGAGGATCTCAATGAGAACAGTTTCTGGATCAAAGCCAATGAGGACAAGTTTCAAAACAATGAACTCTTTGCTAAACTCACCTTTACGTTTTCCTCTCAAACAAAGAGTAAGTGCGTAGCTTATGTATTGCAGTGTCTTTTTTTTTTTTTAAATTGCATTTCACAATAATGACACTTTCTATGGCTCTTTTGCATTTCTACCCTCTTTTCTGGATGCCTGTTTCAACTCTTTTCTTCACATCCTTCAGGCAGCAAAGGTAAGAATATTGCTAGTTTTTCTATTTTTGACACAATATCCGCAGTCCTCGTTTTTGTCGCCTTGAAACAAACACTACGCATTTACATCATTCAGAGAGAGTGACAGAACAGAATTTCACACAAGTTCATGAATAATCCACTCACACCTGGCAGTTATTCATCTCAATGTGCAGAGACAGAACACTCATCAGCGGGCGAGATAGATTGGGGCTTGGGAATGTTGTGGGAGACAGACAAAAGAGAAGATGGTGTAGGAAGGGATAAGAAGAAGGTCACTGATGTTCTTTGACTAGCCACCAGCTGTCGTGGCACAAAGCGCTGACACATGGATGTACACACAGACTGACAAACACACACACACAAACCTGTCCACTCCGATCACCTTGTCCCAGTGTCACTGAGCCTTCTGCTCCAACTCCTCCATATTCAAATTATATTTAGGACAGCGGGAACTTCCAGACACTGTGTTTGGGTGTGTGTGATTTCATCTGACCTTCAGTCTCTGTACACCACACACACAGACACACACACAGACACACACACACACACGCGCGCGCGTGCTGTCCTTTTCAGGTCATATACATAAACAGGCACACATAGCTTAAGCTAGCTTTTGATGTCTGTTAAATGTCAGGGTTGGCAGCTGTCCCATCTGCATTCACCTGTATATCAAATCCCAGTGTCTGCCTGCTACTCCATAATTTGACATCCCTCCCCATACTCCTTTTGGCCCATGCACCCATGAATCCTCTTTTTATTGGCAGAGACAGCCGCCTGTTCTCTATGATGTCTAATAACCTTTTCTGAGCGCTGTATATAAAGACACCGTGGCCTTTTCATAGCCCCACACCTGTCTGTGTGTGGATTAAGGTGGGGTGGGGTGGGCTTGAGTGGGTAGAAGGTGAATGTGTGTGTGTTGATTTATTTTGTGCACCTTTATATTGTCAGATTTTGTTGTTGTTGTGAATGAATATATAGAATTTTATACAACTGTTGTGTATGCATCAGGCTTTTTTTGCACACTGGAGTTTTTATTAAATATTTAAACTCCAGTGTGTTTCTGTAGAAAGTGCTTGTTTGTAACAACACATTCATAGAGGCTCAATTCAACCAGGTCTGCTCATGTAACTATACCCCTTGCCCTTCATTTTCCATCACACTTTCCAAGGCCTTATACATTCTTCCTGAGCTCTCTAGCCTTTTCCTACTCCTCACCTCCTGGACATTCCTCCAGTCCTTTCCAGAAACTATCCAGTATCACCATTGATCCACCTTGATCCTTTTCCCTCATCTTCATATGTTACCCAGCAGCTGAATGTTTTAAGTACTGGTACATGTTAGTGGGAGAAACTCATTCTCTGGCTTGAAAGAAAATGAAGTCGTCAGTGATGAGTCTGTATGGTAAAACATTTTTCATTGGGTTTTGACTGACAAGAATATACCATGACTTGAACTTTCTTTAATGAAAAACCTTGTGTGTTCCTATTTATTTAACTTGAAAAATATTTTGTTTTCATCAAACTACTTAAGGTCGTCTACAAGTAGCTTGTTCAGTTGGGTCCAATATTCATAGTAAAGTTTTGCTGTAAATTACAGGAATGTAAATTTAAAACAAAATGATGTACATTGGAAATCAGATGTTTGTCTTTTTGAAGTAGTTCTGAGTTTAAAGATGTGACACAAATGCACACAATATGTACCCTGTATGGAGTTCCCATTGTTGCTGCTGCTTCCTTCAACTTTTCCCTTTTCAGGGTCTGACACAGTGAGTCAACCTCCTCCACCCCACTCTGTCCTCTCAGCTGTATCCATATATGTCCTCTTTGGCCTTCCTCTTTGTCTTTTTCCTGACTGCTGTATTTCTAACATCCTTTAACCACTATACCCATTGTTCTTCCTCTGGACAGGTCCAAACCATCTCAGTCTAGCCTCTAACTTCATCTTCCAGATGTCAAACTGGGCTGTACCTCTGACGATCTTATTCCTAATCTTATCCATTCTTGTCCAGATGTTGACATAAGGACATTTTCCAGGTTGTCCAGTGAACAACCTCTTGACAGAATCTGGTTGTTTGCCGAAATATTTGGTTATCCAAAACCAAAAAAAAATCCTTTACAATAAAGAAGGCAAAATAAATCTCAAGAACAGTTTTATTTAATAATCATATTTCACTATATACAAAGTTTAGTATCTAAAAAATATTCTCAGTTAACCATCTTGTGGACTGCTTGGAATTTCCATGCTACCGAGTGGCAGACTCTTTCAGGAGCTGCTCAAGTGGAATTTTCCCGTTCTCTTCCTTGACATCAGACTTGACAAGAGAGGCACTCGCAGAATATTTAAGGCAGGGATTAAAGCAGAAATAAATATTTTGACTGAAGTTTTTCTACACCTAGATGTTACCCAAGCAATCACCACAATACCACAATAATACATTAAAGAGTTTTTTTCTGTATACAGGTCACTTCTCAAAGGTTTTCCCACAAAGAGGAGTATACTGTTTACATGACCTTAGTAAAAGTACACAGTATAATGCTCTCTAATGAAGTGTTAGTTATAAAAAGACTAACCTGCACCATCAAGACCAACATCATTCTGAAGGAAGCGAGGGGATTTTAACAACTGTTCTGTCCTTTACTTTCATGTCATTTCAGTGTTTTCAATTGAGGGGTTGTCAGATATATAAAACACATAGCACATGATGTCCTTAGCAGAGTATAAATTATTATTTTTATTTATTTGCCAGACTGATGAATTACTCCCCTATAATGATTATTTAATTGAAAGGGATTATATTTACAGAATTTCAACTCATGTACGTCTTTTATTACTATTTATTTTTCATATTTGATCATTTATTAAATTGCATTCATCACAGTACAGTTACCACTCAGTATGATTCTAAATATAATCAAGTTTAGCACATCCAAACAGCCACAACACTTTATTGTTAAAATACTGTGTAGAATTGAATTTTACAGATAAATATGATAAACTACAAATGTCTGGCACCAACTTTCTCACAGGGAAAACTTTGTGAGTTTGGGGGAAATGTAAAGTTAAATGGAGATGAATATCTTTGCTATAATCTGGGGCATATAAATGTTATCTTTGTGTTAATATTGTTATATGAACAAAAACGGCTGATGCAGCCTCCTCACTGTGAGAGAGACAAACAGGCTGAGCATGCTCCTGCGGCTACTCTTATCTCCTTTGAAGACCAGAAGTTTAGTCACTTGTACAAGCTGTATATGTCTGTATGATAATGATGATGCTCTGTACACATTAGCATTTAATACAAAAATAGACTTTAGATGCAAAAGTCCCAGGAAGGTCAGGGCACAATGAGGATGGGGTTGGTTGCGATGGTTTATCATTCTGGTATTCTCCCTGGCTGCAGTGAATTGGTCATTTGCAAACGTACATTTAGTAGACGTTTACTAATTTATTACGTCAACACCTTAGGTTGGGGTAGCACGGGGTCCTCCTTGGAAAATAATACAGGAAACACTGATTGGTGCTCTCACCTGCAGTCTGTCTCTAAGATGGGAACACTGCACACACCTGTTGTGTATCAGACTGCACAACTTGCATTGTTTTGCTCTGATTGTGTAAAACTGTGGCTCTGGTTCTCTTTATTTGTTGAAAGCAGCAGTGGTTTAATCCCCGTATCATTAAAACCATTACAGCCATGCTTTAAAAACCACAACAAAACGCCCCCCCCCCCCCCCCCCCCTTCATTTATTTATTTTTTACATATGACTGAAATCCGTCGCTGCAACAGGGAACTTTAAACAATGTCCATTTTACTTGGTTGTCCACCGGACATCTTGGAGGCGAAATCTGGTTGACCAAGATGAAAATAAGTTGTCTCGGACCACCGGAAACTGCTTATGTTGACCCCAGTTGTCACTCCCAAGGAGAACCTGAACATCTTCAGCTCTGCCACTTCCAATTTCATCTCCTGTCTTTTTGTCAATGCAGTTGTCTCTAAACCATACAACATAGCTGGTCTCCCCACTGTTTTGTAAACTTTTTCTTTGACCTTTGCTCACAAATAACTCCTGAAACTTTTCTTCATCCATTATATCTAGGGATGCACGATCCACAATTTTTTACTTCCGATCTCGATACCTAAATCTGAATATCGGCCGATACCGTTCCGATATCATCATCATTATTGATTTTATATGAGGCTGTAATAATCTCCTCTCTATAGACGAGTACAATTTGTACAAATATATGCATGTCCAAAAAGGCAAGTAAGTTTTATTAATGTTGGATAAGTTTCAAAGTTAAAATTTAATCTTGCTAACACAAAACATGTTTTTTTTTTTTTTTTTTATCCCTAGCTTTAAAGTGGATATTAAAGTGATTAAATCATCTGCTAAGTTCATGGAATAAACCAACACAGACATGTTCTTGTTTTTAGTATTTTACATCACTTTATAATGTAGCTGTTTTTTTATTTTTTATTTTTTAAATATATATATATAATTTGCTTGTATTTTTCAATTCATGTGCTTTTTATGATTGTCTACTGTTGTACTGATAAATATCTCCTGGAGGGTCAACTATATCTTGGCTGCAAGTATCGAGCTGCGAAATCCTTTGTTTTCTACAACTGATGGTTCTACAACTGTTGGTCATTAATTACGATGAAGTTTAGCAACTTCACGGTAAACATTCGAGCTCCGGGGCTTCAGCGGTGTTTTCCTTCTTGTTCAGTCTGGAGAAGGCAGTCTGATTTCGGTCAGCCGCGCTCAGTCTGCCCCTCCTTCGAGACGAACAGACTGAGCGCGGCTGACCGAAATCAGTCTGCCTTATTCGGACTGTACGAGAACATCAGCTGAAGCCCGGGAGCTCGAATGTCCAACGTAAAACTAACTTGACCACGATTTTATGTGGTGCTATGGCTCTGCAAAAATTGCATGTTGCTGTCTTGCTTTGTGGTGTTTCTACTTTAAAATACTTCCACACAGTGGCCATGTTTCAATGA